AGTGAAGTTAGTCTTTTTTTTAACTAAACTTCGCGGGTAGACCGGCGTTGAAAGTACATATAGACGCTGTTCAATGCATCAAGTTTTGTCCTTCAGAAAATAAGTAACATCTGGCAGCCCTGGGATCTTACACCATTAATATTGTTTGAAAATGTTGAAAATTGCTAAAAATGGGGCCTGCACCTTGTGGAAATATTTATGAAAAAATTTCCAATCATTGGTGTAATTTGCATCCTTAAAAAAGGAAATAGGTAAGATTGATACAATTAATTAATATACATTCTTTTTGTTGTTTTTTCAATTCAATAATTCTGATCTTAATTTTCTGATTCCAATCGCTCGGCCTATATTTGCAAATGGACAGTCATGTCGGCAAATTAGGGCAATATTGCCGATATGCCCATATACCTTCTGCTATAAGTGTTGTACTGAAGAGATGTGTAGCGAAGCTTACTCCAGTTCTTTTGAGACCCTTACGAATCCGGTGCTTTCCCAGAAAAGGGGAAAATTGAAATTGTCCAGTCCATCCCAAAAAAAGGAATTTAAGGCCGACCCAAACTAATAGAGACTTATAGATCTGCTTTCTGTTGCAAGTAAGGTCATGGAGAGGTGCATAAATCTGGAGCTTCTGGAGTATTTTGAACATCGTTTCTTGATTAGCTACAGGCAGTATGGTTTCCAGCACCTGCTATCCACGGGGGACCTTCTACAAATCTCATCATTCGCGGCAGCTGCTGGGTCAAAACTAAGCTATCTGTTTAGCGCTAAGAAGTACTTCTCTCAACATAAACTCCTCCTCGGTACAAGGCCCAGACAAGACCTAGCCTCGAGTACTGCTTATATGTTTGAGGTGCTGCCGCACCAACTAGGTTGCCATTCTGGATTACCTTCCTAGGAGGGTTGTCCGACTGATCGTTGACTCTTCTCTAACGGACAATCTCGGTACGCCGTTGCACTCAAGTGCCATCGGTGATGCCGCCGCGCGATGAGCCTGCCAGACAGACCCGCCTGTCTTTGGTCTCCCGTCCTAACCCTATCCAACTTCGTACATTCAGAACTGACCGGTACGATCGCTCCTTTGTCCCTAGAGTATCGAGATTGTTCAACAATCTTCATGATAGTGTAATCATATTCGATGACAATACCCCTGGTTTGCGAAATAATTGTAAAGTCTGGTTTTAGTGCTTCAAGAGGGTATTCAAAACTGCAGGTTTTGGCACTTGTTGGCAATGTGACGATGGTTTCTCGCAGACATTTGAAATTCTTCAGATTCGTAGGATTCGTACTTCTAAATAACCACAACAAAATTGGAGTAGATTGGTCAAGTAGTTTTTGAGAATTTCTAATTGTTTATCCAAAAACACCTGTTTTCCGGCCATCACTACTAGTTTATTGAACAATATACAGAGTTAGTTCAAATGACATTTTATAACAAAATACACTAGTTTACCTTGCCGGTATGAATCGAAAACCATTCCGGAAGATAAATGTTATTTGTTGTGCAAAAAAGGATGGGTTACGTTTTCTCTCCTAAACAAATTCAAACATTTCATATTTGTGAGTAAATCGCAACAAAAGACGATAGACACATCCGCTTTATTTTAAATTGAGTATAATAAAGTACGTTTTTAAAATATCGTAGCGCATTTGTTCAATTACTCAAAAATACGAAATGTTTGAATTTACTTAGAAGAAAAAAAACGTAACCTTTGTTTTTCGCATAAAATACAATTTATTTTTCGAAATGGTTTGTGATTCATATCAGCATGGTAAATACGTGTATTTTGTTATTAAATGCTCTTTGAACGATCCTTGTATATTGCTCAATAAACTAGTAGTGATGCCGAGAGAACAGACGTTTTGGGATAAACAATTAGAAATTCTCAAAAAACTACTTGACTAATATACTCCAATTTTGTTGTTTTTATTAAGAAGTATAAATCCTACGGATATGAAGAATTTGAAGTAGTTGCGTGAAGTTACCGTCGCATTAGCAATAAGTGCCAAAACCTGCATTTTGCCTCGTTTTTCGGCCATAACATTTTTCCTATCAGTCGTATCTGCTTATGCGTGACCTCATTTTGTAGGTCTCATAAATACCTAAAAACCTTATATGGAAAGCTTTTCCGTTCCTGTCAACACTTTCGATTGAATCCCAAAAAACCCATTTTCTCATTCTTTGTTCAATAAAATTTGCTGATATGATAAAACTATTAACTTTAAACAGTTCAAAAATGGGATTAACAAAGTGTCTCTAAGCTCCTCGGTGCCCTGGTAGTAAGGTCTCTGCTTACGTGACTGATTCAGTATACATATGTATAAAAAAATACACTACTAATTTTCACAAATAATCGATGCGGTCCTGTCTATCTCTGTCGCAAATGTACCCTCGTCTATTCAAAACTGGTTTGATAGCCTAAGAGCTGTCTGGAGAACGCCGGAGACCGAGGCCGTAATTAGACGTTTCGCTGTACGGATGAGTTTTCTAAAAAGCGCATCAATTATCATCTAGCTACTTGAACCTGACGTGTTAAAACGTGGAAGTGCATTAACAGAGCGAACGGCTAGCGCTAGATGCATGCGGTCACATGTGTACCGGTCTCTATATTATTCTGATAGCGAAACCGGAAAAGTGATTATGAGAGTATTTTACTCAGACTTTATATGCATCGAGAACCTGATGGTATTTTCAATGTTGCTCGTGTTACGGAACTTTTGATGATATCTGGCAGATAACCAACGTTATGGATTGGCTCGAATGCTAGCGAGCAGAACTCAACATACTGTTTGTTGAAATCTTACAGGGTACATTTTTTCGACACCGAAGCAGCCGCGCAGGCAGAAGCCCAAACTCAGTGCACCGCGGCTGCTATGAGGAGCTTAAAGAAACTTAATTGATCGGATTTTTATTTATTTATTTCATTTCGACAAAAAACATTGTATACGAATTGTCATACATTTTCAAATCTTAAAAAAACTATACCTAACAAGAAACAGTCAATAAAAAAAATGTAATTATTGAACTGCCTAAGGTTAGTAGAACTGGAAAAGCCTCCTTATGCAGATTGTTCCACAGTCTTGATATCCTAGGGTCAAAAGAGCGGTCGTATCGGCCAGTTCTGGATGTACGAAGTTCGGATGGGAGGCCGAAGTCAGGTGGGTCTATCTGACAAGCACATCACGCGACGGCATCATGGAGGAGAGCTCTGAGGTTAGTGGTAGAAGAGAGCTGGATCGCCGACGGCCCACCAGTGCGAAAGGGTCCTGATACTATCCGTTAGAGAACAGTCATCGATCAGTCCGACACCCCTCATCTGAACAGCATGCGGCATGGGTAATGTATTTGGGGCAGCAGCACCTCAAACATATGAGCAATGTAAAGAGTGAGGAGGTCATGTGAAGTAAAGTACTTTCAGCCCTAAACAAATAACCTAGCTTTTTCTCAGCAGCTGCCGCTATTGATGAAATGTGTTCGTGCCAGATCAAGTCCTCGGTGATCTGGACTCCGACTAGCCGAAATGAATGGCTATTTGGTAGAACTCGGCAAACCATCGAAACCGGACGAGCGCTGGGACGTTTCTTATTCGTGCAAGGTGCAAGACTGTACAAGACTGTTGCATTCCCAAGCAATGATAACCTCCAGGTTTCCAGTCAGAAAGGAAGTCACAGGTGGTCATTGATACGTAAGAGGAACAGTGTCGGAGTCTCGACCGGTCCTTGGAGAACACCCGCGTTGTCGTTGTGTGGTGAAAAGGAGAACCCACCAGTTACGACGGATATCTTGTGGCCAGAGAGATTCAGTCACTCATCTGCAAAGCTCCTATGGGAGCCCATAGGATGGAACTTTGATTAGGTGAGCAACATTGATTTTGATATCCTAAGCTTATGCGATTTCTAGATTTGATTTTTAACATCCTTTGAACGAAACTGGCTTTTCAGCAATAATTTACATGTTTTACATCCCTCACATATACAGCGTGTTTCAGAAAAACGAGACAATATTCCTAGGGCGTATAGTAGATTAAAGGATAACACGTGGTGTTCCTCAAAATTTCGCGAAAATTTTCGGACCTCAAATATTACGCTTTTTGATGGTTTGTGATATCTGCATCGTGAAGTCCTATTTCTCCCATTCCCATTCCCATCTGTCTGTCTGTCGCTCTGTCTTTTGCCGTTTCCTCTAACTACGGTTTGTTATGGGGTTATAGTAAGTAGCGCAGACCTATGGCGAATAAAAAATCCTCAGATCGCTACAAAACCTTAATATTGTACAGTTTACAGCTTTCGATGTTTGTTAGTCGTTGCAAAAAGTCTGTTTTGGGGAGACCATATTTTGAAAAATGTTCAATTTCTGTCTTTTAGCGGTTCCAGGTTTCTAATCACTTTAAAGCTCGGTAAATGTTTTTAGAGGACGGAAACAAATTGAAGTTTGAAATGATGGCAATAATGACACTCAAAGAGATTTTGTGTAGTGCGGGATATCCAGTTTGGGAAATTTGAAAATAGACGTAGTGGGAAGCACTGAGTTAATTTGCTTGATATAACTTCTTTTTGTTAGTTGAACTTCAAATTAACTCTATGAGCTTCTCGTAGCAGTCATACAAAACAATATAATCATTGTTTAACAAGAGATCTACATAACCAGATAGTATCTGGATAAACATTTAAGTTTTTGTACCTTTGCAGGGTTTACTCAAGTTGAGGCATGTTCTTTTTGTTTTGTACGATCCTGGGAGCATATTTGTTTTTGCCTTTCATAAAAGCTGTAATTACTGCAATGTTTGTGGACAGATCTCTGACATTTTTAGACCTGGATCAGAAACAAAATAACTGTAACAGTGCGTTGACTTCAAGCTTATTAACTGTTAGTAAAATTATTACATCTGGTGTTATAATATTGTGTATCAAGCTGTGTGCCATTCCACACACCCTCAAGCGAATAACATAACACTCCTTCTGAGGTAGTGGGGTAAAAAGAAGACATTCCATAAAACACCTACCCTAGCTTGTTCGTCCTGTAACAGCACCTGGACAACGTCCCTACAAGTGGTTTGTTCTGTGATCCCAGACACCCACCTCTGGTCCCCTCTCACCCAAATCGGTACTTCTTCGCCTACAGCACTAGCACTGCTACTCAGACTACTCTCCAGGTCTGAGTCACCATCGTCGTTCTCTTCGGTTTGCTTGGTATCACTGAGCCACATCATCCTCCTGAAAAGAAGATACTCATTTTTACCACGTCCAAAGATTCTAAATAAAGATCCTAAAAAAAAATAAACATTTGAATATACTAAGCATGGCATAGTGTAAAGACAACTTTGTAATCCCTGGTTGGGAGTTCTTTTTACTTTTTTATTTTTGAAACTAATAGTCCGTACTGCCTTGAATGTTCAACATTGATCGACAAGTGAAAATGCCAATAAATACAAGTTAGTTTGGGTGACGAATATGACTACGAGATTTTAATAAGATCCTTGCCCTGTACTTCTTGAATTTGAATAAACAAAATGACGAAAATGAACCACCCCAATTAGATGAGGTGAGGTGACTGAAGACCAAAAGGTAAAACCAAGAAGGTTAACAACTTTTGGTATGGGCCTTACTACACGGATTGATTATTACTAATTTTTTCATAAATCCTAACTGTTAAAACGTTGCAGTGATTGAGAACAGACAAGTGCTATTACAGTTTTTAGAAAGGTTGCGTGACTTCTGGCTACACGGCCCGGATGCCTAAGAACAACACACAGTAGCCATAATCCCTGCTGAAAGTTTCAAACACTGTTTTTAAACCGCGGGCTAACATTCTTTGGACGTCTTTTGACGATATCCGAAATACCACTTTGGGAGATCAAAGAGAACATTTTTATCAGCAAAAATCAGGCGTAAAGCTTATCAACTCATATATATTGCTTAAAAAATTATTTATAGTTAGTAAGGATTTTAGCTTCCTTCCGCTCTTCTGCTCATAGACCATCGAAATCTTTCATATACACCGGGGTAACTGATTAGTGAGCTGCATTTAGCAGCTTCACTACTGTTGTTAAGAAAAGCACAGGGAGATCTTTAGATAGATTGGACAATACCTCACTTATGGCCTGCTCTATCTTTGGATTCAAACCTCTTTTCCTATGTGGCCATCTAAAGTTACGTACCCTCTTTGACACTACTTGACTAGAAAATGTAACTAAACAAAAAGTGACCATTGAGTGGGAAAATTGGAGCTATCTGGCATCTCAAGGAAGACACTCTTGTCATATGTTTTTCGAAACACCCTTTAAAACTGTATAAATAAATTTCTTCTTATCCTACAAAGCTCAGTTATGTCTGAGTGAAACTTAGAGATTATCACTGACCTATCTTTAGCGAAAGTGCTATGGTGGATAAAACTGTGTAAGTACGGATTATTGCTAATAAGCAAGGATAAGGAAGTGCTACCATCTGACTAATTGAGCTATTTATCAGAACAAATAAGCTTTCCGGTAAATTACCGACCAATCAACACTGCGTAACTTGATATAATGTTACTGCAGAGTCACTTGTAGAACTAGATTGATTTTATTGTACCTATAGTTATATCAGGGATACTTCTGCATTGGCAAACATTAATTATGTCAACGAACACTCTCAGATTCGTTTGCTGATAACAAATCTGAAGTAGCAGAACCCATTTTCTGATTGCTGCTTGACGTCGACATATTTACAGAACTACAACTTTTGGTATATTATAAAACTATAAAATTAATGATAATTCAGCGATTGAAAAACGTCATCTTTCAATAATTCTTAACATATTTAAATGTGATCCAAGATATAATATTCAATAATCTGTAGGCACACCTGGGCCACTCTGTATATGTAATGGGATATGTAATGATACAAAATTAAGGTTTATTGAACATGTTAAAAGTCTATCTCAGAAAACCTACCTACGGCTGTGCACTCTTATAGCAAACAAGTATTTACTAAATTTTAAGTTGCGTAAAAAACTATGTGAAGCATTGGTCATATCTATACTAAATTATTGTAATATCGTATACTATACTTGTTTAGACAATTTCACTAAAAACGTTATTCAAGTTATTCAAAACAATTGTATACGATTCATTTTTGGCTTACGTAAATTTGATCATGTATCAGCGAAATATCCCGTTCTAAACTGGTTAAAAATTAATGACATAGTCAAGTATCACTATTCAGTTTTTGTTCACAAATTGCTGCTCACGTCTAAGCCTTATTACTTGAAGGAAAAAATTTCATTTAATAATGATGTTCACTGCAGAACTGTCAGAGAAAATAATATTAGAATATCCCTGCATCCGTCTACACTTTTTAAACACAGTTTTTCTTACAATGTTGCTATTATTTATAATGATCTTCCTAAAGTATATAAAGAATTTTCATTACCTGTCTTTCGACAAAAAGTTAAAACATTGTTACTCAACCCTCCAAAAATATAATTTACGTAATCATTCATTTCTTTTTTATTCCATCTTTAATTTAGATTAATAATTTTTTGGTGCATTTGGGTTTGGAAAGTATGCCTTTTTCTCTTTTTTTAAATTTTACTTTCGATGTAATGAACCAAATCTGTTTGTGGATAGTTATTCTTTTGAACATCTGCTAGAGACTATATGGTTAAGTGTAAGAGTAGCAGCATGCTAAACTTCGCCATGTAAGTCTGACATTTGGCTATACTACAATGTAGTTGTGGATAAATAAAGACGTATATTATTATTATTATAAGATCGTATGGTAGATAAACACGCAGTAGCTATTCTAGGAGTATATTCTCACTACCTACGGTGCAAAAGGACATGGAGAGATCAACTTTGGGGTTCTATGTCTCAAAAAGTACCGACGTAAGCCTCGTGTGGGCAACCAAGCCGTTCAATTATTGCTGAATGCAATGCAGAATCTGTCGAACAAAATTTCGCACCGAAGCTGTGACTGAATAAGTGTGGCTACTTTCATCATACGGGTTAGGCTTTTGGCCTACCCAAGTGAAATAAATGAAAACGTCTTTCTCACACTGATAGTGTGATCAAAATCACGTTCTATCTGTATGAAAAATAAAAATTAGTCTCTATATTAGTCTGCAATACAGCTGATTTTAAATGCTCTATTTTCAAATACAATTTTTTTAATACACAATCGAAAAAATAAGGACAAACTGCATAATAATTAAATTCCAGGAGAATTCAAGCAATATATTACAACTATTAAAAATTAAAATTTTTTGTTGTGGAAAAATACGCTATTTTATATTTTCTTCATGTTCACCATAACTGAGCCGTTGAAAGCCAGAATGGTCCAAGTCCAAAATTTCAGATTTCGGGGTTGCATGTGCATACTGTTCTGAATGAAGCAGTCGTTGTCTGGGAGAGTTTTCAAAAATGTATCTCTAAATTTTGCACACAGATGGCACCAGCTTGTTTTTATATGTTAATGAAAAGCTGTAACAAAAAGTTTTACCATTTCCAACATTGACATGCTCCTAGGCATATTACAAAAGCAATGTGTACTGTCTAACCTTGGAATACATGAACAGAGAATATGAAAAAGGTTTCGTGCATGCGTGGAATCAGATTACTGCATCACGGGGGCACAAGGAATACGGTCATGAATACGGAGGCACAGTGACGCCTGCGGTGGTCAAAACCGTAATTTCAAGCAATGCCTTTTTGGCTCAAACTCTTAGACGATACAGAAGGTTTGAAGACTATTGATTAGAAGATCATGGTTTCAGGCCATTCTTTCCTGACTAATAAACGCGACTCAACAATAAAGAAATGCAGACCCAGGGAACACATTTACGTCTACGAAATGCAAAGGACTGATTTGTTCCCATCAACAAAATTAGAGGAATCTGCGATGAGACGACAAAAAAAATGATAATAACCCCTCTGTATCATGGCTTCGCATCCAATGGTTTCACTTTGAAAAAAAAGAACGTTACAGAATTTTCTATAAAAAAACCCTGAATGAAGATTTCCCATTTATCACTTTGCAGCAATATAGGAAAGGCGCACCCAAAAACTTCAAAAATATAAATTTACCTCTCTTGTATGTCTTCCCCTTCTCTGTAAATGACAAGAAGAAAAAACATGGAGGAACTTCTCCAGTTTATGCCTCCAGTCCACAGTGTTTTGAAAGAGCTATATTGGACCACTCCTTTCTAATGAAGAAGAATAAAAAGACTAGCGAATTTTGAAAAATTCCATTAAAGCGTCGTGTCGGTTGATAGCCTTTTAGTTTTTTTTGTGGTATAATAATTTATTTTGTTGCTTTATAAGATCGCCAATAAACATAGTTGTGTAACTCGATTTTTAAGTAATACGTGAAACAAAAAACAAAAACTGTGGGCTAAAACACGAGAAAAAAGATACATGAACACAAAATGTTCATGTTTTTACGGTTAGATACTCAAATTGATATTTCCTCTAATGGCATTTTGTTTTATCGCTGCAGTTCTGTTATTCCACATTTATCACCAGCATCTAAACTTTAGTACCTCATATCTCGCAAACGTTTTTTTTTTTACTTGGAGCTATTGTGATTTTTACATATTCTCTTGCCCACAATACGACTTTTGTAAACATATCCCGTCTCATTGAACATCACTTTCAACTGTGTTAGTTTACCATTAAAAAAATGTTACTATCCGTCCCTGATCAATAAGTAACGCGTACGTACTGTTCTTGTTTTACGGATGGTAGCCAAGTTTCATAAACACAGGGTTGCGGTGTCCGCCTTAAAATTATAACATCCGTACGGTCTGTAAACATCAATTAATTTTAATGGCCCCACACAACAATACTGTGTAATTTTTATGGGTAGCGCAGATCCTGGAGCCAGCCAGCAGCACTGTGATTAGTCACATGTTCACGTACGGGACTTGACCCGTTATCATTCGTTTCGGTTTTATTTGGAACTGCGAACGGTACCACCTCCAGAGAAATTCTGAATTTGTGAAAGATTGTGCTGAGAGTATACCCATATTTACAGGGCGATACAGAAACAATGCATATATTTCTAGAGCAACAAGTATACCAAAAAATAGCTTCAAGAGTCCTTACGAGGGATGTCTTTTAAGTTTTGCATATGCAAATCAAACAACACGGTAGGTAGTTTTAAATGACTTTATTGTTTTTCGAAGCATTTTCCACGAAGATTAATACACATCTGCATGCGCTCGAACCAATTTTCGAA